CCCCCAAACATGCGTCAAGAACTGACCTGAGATTTCCGAAGAGTGAGTTCCAGTGCTTGTCGATGAAGGCACAGATGTGAGACTTCCAGTGGTAAAAGCCACACATGCCCTGGCCGGCCTTGTGGAGGTTGTAGAGCACCAGGATGACCACGTCCAGCCTGGACACAACACACACAGGGACCACACAAGTTTTAAATATAATGATGATGATAATAATAATAATAATATTAGTAATGATAATGACAATAATAAAAATAACATTATAATAATATCCATTGTGCCGACACCCATACAATACAGCTCTGGGCACTCTACAATACTTTCATCTTAACACAAATCACATGGGCCTACATATACTCTTCAGATAAATGCTCGCACATCAGCAGACATTCATACTACCACAGCATACTTTCATCTTAACACAAAATACATGCACATACTACATACATATAATATATATGTATTATGCTCTTTAGATAAATGCTAACATATAAACAGACAATCATACTATCACAGCACAATCAATGACGATATCACAATATGAGCATAAGAGTAGCCCTCTATAAGTAACAACACATAGTAACTTTAATTGCAATGACCCACTGTATTGTGATGTGTAGTGTAGTTTTTCTTAACCTGTGGTGCCAGAAATACGACTTTTCATAACCCCAAACAGCCTGGATACATTGTATAAGAGTTCTTACATGTAACATGCTTGTTGAAACAATGGGCGAGTAACAGTTGATTAGTATAGAGGGTAACAATCTAATCCTAAAGGGAACAGCACGAGGAGGGAGATGAAGAGGTACACACAGTCAAATAGGGGAAAGCAACATCAAAGAGTGGACTGGCCGCGACTGGAACATCTTACAACGAAAAGCTGAGAACCAAGAGGACAGGAAGACACTCGTGGAAAACTCTAAAGTGGTGCACCAACAGTCAGCTGGTCTATGGGATAGGTGAAGGTGGAGAAGGTAAACAAGCTCAACCTACCAAGATATGACTGTACGCTCAAAACTCTCCTTGCCATTTTCTGAACAAGCTTGGCACTTGAAACTGAAAAATGTGTCTCCCAGAAGAATGGATGGTTGAGGGCTTTTTATACAACCTGGGAAAAAACAACAACAAAGCAAGTCTACAAATACAGCTTTCTAAAAATGCTCTAGACTTCAATATGTAAAGATGAAAAATATCATTACAATTTTATGAATCCAAACCAAAACATAGCAGCAAAGGTAAACGCTGAGGAAGGAAAGTTAAGTAGTAAGTAGGGTGCAGCAGAAAGTCCCTTACAACTTGATGAAAAAGATAACAAGCACTAGAACACATCTTCTCACAAATATATATATATAACATTTAAATTTATTTCATAAAGGGAAAAATAAGGCAGGACTAACTGTAGTGAACTCTTTTGCAGCATATGTCACATTTGTAGCTGAGAATGGCATCCCAGGAGTCTTCATGCTTCCAGCAGTAGGCACAGCAGAGGAAGGTAGAATCCCCCATCACAACTATAGTACAGCTGTACAAAAACACTTCTTGTTATGACGATGTCATTGGCATTATCAATCTGTGATCTGTGGAAACAAAACAAAAAGCAGTCTTTATTTTCATGATAATGAAGAAAAACCCTTTCATTTCCAGTATCACAAATCTGTCAAAGTGTAGCAGACGCACTGTAGGAGAATATGGTATGTTTATAGAATCACTCCCGTCCCGCGGAAACTATCCATGCCGGTTTGGCTTTTATTTTGTTTATGCATGCTTTTGTAGTCATTAAGGGGGGGATCAGGGATTTGTGCCCCCCCCCCCCCCCCCCCGAAATAACCATTTGCGACGTTTTTTAATGCCAAATTGCGTTCGGGGCCCTAAAAAAAACCCCGGAAAGAGCTACAAAACACAACACCCTTTATGAGACGGTAGTTCTAGGAAATTACTGAGAATTTAACCAATTATATCTTTGTAGTCCTTGCCTTGGAAATCAGATAACTCCTGACAACCAATGACTAGCACTGAGGTTTAGCTGGGTATACTTTTTTGGCCTGGTTAAAAGCGTCGGCGCTGAAGGTAACAACACAACATGTAAGAGACATAAAATAATGCGCAGTAGAAGCTGTAGTATTGGCATGACCATACAAAAGTATGTTGCTTTATCATAAAACAACTCAAGTCAACATCTCTACTGTCTATATTAGGCACTTTGTGGATCCATGGAACCCGCAACACTGCTAAATTCCCCAAAATAATTGTTTGTGAGAGTTTTTAGTGCCAAAATAGTTGTCAGCACACTAAAAAACAAAAAAATTGTGCTGAAAAAAAATCTATATCTAGTTTAAAATGGGTTTGGACGTGTTCTATAAATTTACCGGTGGCCTCTTCACCCTGGCAACTCCGATTTTGTGCATAAATTTCTATGAAGTTAGGCTGGGACCAGGCCGGGACCACTTCTCCCGAAGAGAACCAAAATTTGGTATGAAGAAGCAAACATATTCGGTAAATTTTATCATAGACGTTAGCAAGGGTAACAGGCTAGATTTAGATGATTTGGGGTAGGATCATCAGCGGTCAAACAAAAATACAAAATAGTGTGTAACGTATAGAAGATCTAGATTCTAGAATTAATTAAGATGAAAGAGAAGTAGACTCTAGCATTATAATCATAATCAATCCACCCACCAATATTTTTTTCAAATACGCAGTGGCTACGTTCACACGCCGTGAACGTAGTTGGCATGCTACGTTTACGGCGTCCCAAATGCAGTTTGCAGGCGTTGTTGAGGCTATGTTCACGGCACTAAAGCTTCGTTTAGGGGGAGTGTCCACAGCCGGTTTAAGTCAGCCGGTTTTAGTCAGTGACGACAGTGACATATATTTAATACTTTGGTCAGCTTCAAGTGTTCCATCCCATGTGATGGAGGAAAACGAAGTGCCCTTACAGAATTAAAGTCGGGATATGGGATATGGAAAATTGGATACACGCTACATAGTACATAGGAAACAAGAGGTGAGAGATGGGAAACAGAAGGTGGGATTCAGAAGATGGGACTGTTATAAAATGTGTACAATAATGACTGTATTGCACCGGGTCAGCCTGGGAACCGGCGCAGAGAAAAAAATGACGGGAATCAATTATTAAATTCATATTTTAATTTAACAAACATCCTCTCTCTCTCTTTCTGTCTGTTTGTCTCTCTCCCCTTTCTCTTTTCTTCCCTCTTTCTCCCTCTCTCTTTCTCTCCCGCCCACCCCCCACCTTTTCTCTCTCTTTCTCACACACACACTGCCCGCAGACAAAATTGCACGCTTTCAACTCGAGAGCGCTGGAATGTTTGTTTACACTCGTATATTACGGGCCGCCACGTGCTAACACAAGGTCGCGCCTAAGTCTCGCCCGGATTCGAGATATGGCAATTGAAACATCTTGGTAGGCGTTTACATTTTTGTCATATTTATCCTAACGAAGTGGCTAGCCGTACGGCTAGACTGAGAGTCTAGCCGTACTTAGATCTAAGTTTGGCCCTATCGACTCAAGCCTGTTAAGTACACAGGTCTCATTAGATCTAGATCTAGTAATTATTCAGGTTCAAATACATGCAAGTCAGTAAGGCATCTTTTGGTTTTGTCTGAAATACAAATACTTTAGGCATTGCAAACTAAAAATTTCATTTACAATTCAGCCATCAATATTAAGTACGGCTAGCCTGACAGTCTAGCCGTACTTAAGTACGGCTAGACAAGAAGTCTAGCCGTACTTATCTTAGGCCCTATTAACATATTAGAAAACAGGAGGTTTAAAATACATGCACTGTCATTAAGGCACCTGGTTTCGTCTCAAATACAAATACTTTAGGTACTGCACACTAAAAATGTATATTTACAATTCAGCAGGCCTATTTTTAGTAAATGGTCAGTCTAGCCACCATATTAAGAATAAGTACGGCTAGACTGCGAGTCTAGCCGTACTTAATCTAGCCGTCATTAAGTACGGCTAACCTCTTCCTTATCCTAATGGGTTGTGTAATTGAGAATTCGTCGTTTTCTCTTACGCTGGTGAGCTCTGAGCCAGAGCTCAGGGTAATATAAGGGAAATTGACGAATGGTCGATCGGTCAAGGATCACTGCTTTGTTTTCCTTCATCTCATGGGATGGAACATTTGAAGCAGGCCAAAATATTAAATATACGTCACTGTTGTCACAGGTTAAAATCGGCTTACTTGAACCGGCTGTGGACGCTTCGTCTAAACGAAGCTTGAGTGCCGTGAATGTAGTCCCAACAGCGCCTGCAAACTGCATTCAGGGCGCCGTGAACGTAGCCACTGTGTTTCAAATAATGAAGGGGTAGAAGGCCAAAGAAAAAATAAGCAGTGTAAGGGTTCCAAATCCTCAAAGAAAGTGAAATGGCTACCCAGTACATAGTCACACATTCTTCTTTCTTTAGGAGGCCACCACTCTACACGCCTTTCTCACTTTCAGGTGATTTGGGTACAATCATCATAGTCATTATGATAATGATGACGGGTAGGTACATCGCTAGAGACCACACTTGAATGTAGGTACATCACTAGAGTAGTCTAGAGACCACACTTGAATGTAGGTACATCGCTAGAGACCACACTTGAATGAAACGCCGATGCCGATGGCCCATGCATAGCCTAGATCTTGAGATTGTGATTCCTGGGTTCTCCCCTCACCCCCTCCACACACACGCAAATAATGAATTAAAATAGCTTTCCCTAATCCTAATCTAGATCTAGATCTAGATCTAGGAGTCATTTAATTTTGATTTTTTAAATAAGTGGCCCAGTGTGAGCGAGACAGTGATGGATTCAGACTCAGACCAGATTACCCCACACTGCCCACAGATCAGACTGAGACTCATGAAACAGATCCCAAAGTGCCAAAGTCAAAGTTCCGTACAAAGAAGACCAAGATCTAGATTCTAGATCTACAACTGCTTTTCAAGCAGCCCCATTCAACTTCTAGATCTACTAAGAAGGTGAAATAGGGGGAAAAAAAGAAAAAAAAAGAACGAAGATGCAGCTTTAGGGAAGCTTTAGTTCACCTACCGATTGTGCACTGCAAAAATTAGCGTGATGGAAACTGTTGAAATGAAAGTAGTGAGAAGTTAAAGTTTTTAGATTTTTCTCTCGGAAAATCTAAATGTTGAACGAGAAATATAGAACGGAACAAAATAAAGTAACAGGGTCAATGTACAAGTTTTTAGGTCGATACATGAAACGTTGGTACAGCTTATGACAATAACGAGTATTGTTTATCGATAGAACTACACATATTTGTTAAAAGAAACAAAATACGTGTTAGGAAATTCAAGAATAATAATAAATGTGTTACGGAAATAAATATAAATAACGGTACAGGTTCATTAATGCTGAAAGTCAGGATTACGTAGGAGGGGGATATAGCTCAGTGGTAGAGCATTCGACTGCAGATCGAGAGGTCCCCGGTTCGAACCCGGGTGTCCCCTCTGTCGTTTTTTGCTTTTATTTTGTCTACATAGATGTCAACATTTTTTTCGTTGGGTTGGTTTCAAAAGCTTTATATATCCCCTCTGTCGTTTTTTGCTTTTTTTCTACATAGTTGTCTACATTTTTTTCGTTTGGTTGATTTCAAAAGCAATTTTCGGACAATAACAGCTAATATCCAGAACTGCTGATGTGCTTTTTGTAAAAAAAATCCGTTTTGCGTGATGCTTTCCACAAACTGAAATAGCTTCCGTAAAGGGACTTCAACTTGGAAGTGGTGTGAGTGTTAGTGGAGGGAGACTTGTCGTCAAATTAGCATCACAGTCAATATTTACTCCTGAAATACTACCTCTCCTCGCACGCACATAGAATCTACACACGCACGCAGGCGCGCACGCACACACACACACACACACACACACACACACACACACACACACAAACACACACACACACAAACACAAACACACACATACACACACACACACACACACACACCCGCACACACACACACACACACCCGCACACACACACACACACACACAATATCCAATATTATCATACAGTCTTCACAAAAAGTTAAGGACCACTTGCAAAAGTGCACGCAAAATAAAAACCAGCAAATCAAATCATTTCTTTTTTTACTTACATTTAATTCATTAATCCATAAATTAAAAAAAGAAATTTCATCACAATCGAAACCGAAATGCGTAAATCCCAGCACTCAAAAGGGACCCACCCTCAAAATCGAAAAATCGCAAAAGAAAGAGTCTCAAAAAGTCTCTGCAAAGAAAACGACCAGTTTAAGTTTAAGCTCGTGAATGTCAACGGAATTGTCAGAAGTACGTGTGTCACCATTCACGGCAAGGCAGTCAAGACACCGCTGGCGCATAGAGTTGATCAGGCGTGCCAGAAAGGCGGGGGGAATGTTGTTCCATTCTTGATGCAGCCATTCAAGCAGCTGCTGTTGGTTGGCGGGCAAATGGTGGTTCTCCCGAACTCTCCGACCAAGTTCAGCCCACAACTGTTCAATAGGATTGAGGTCTGGACTGCTGGCTGGCCAAACTATGCGGGTAATAGGCGTTGACGGCTCTGGACCTGTGCGACGTGGCGTTGTCGTCCTGAAGGACAGCAGCAGGCCCAATCTGCTGCAGCGCCGGGACGACCAGAGGTCGAAGGATCTCCTGCAGATAAAGCTGGCCTGTCAGGATACCGTCGACATGGTAAAAAAGAAAGGGGGGGGGGGGTTCTGTGATGCCTGCTGATTCCCCCCAAAACCATAATGGAGTCGCCTCCAAGGAGGACTACTTCTTGAACTGCATTGGCAGCAAGCTGCTCCCGTGGACGTCTCCAGATGTGGGTTCGGCCATCACTGGGTGTCAGACAGAACCGAGATTTGTCAGGGAACAAGACCTCTGTCCACTAGGCATGTGTCTACCTGTGGTGCGCAGTGCACCAGATTTGACGGTTGGCTCGCTGGTTCCGGGTCAGCTTAGGTTTTCTGACTGGACGACGCGGCGCACGAAGTTTGACGTCATGAAGGCGATCACGTATTGTCTGTGAACTGACGGTTGTGTAGGTGGCAGCTCGAAGACGTCGCCTTATGACGCTGGCAGAACCAGTCCGCTGCTGGATGGCTTGGCGTTGGATGTAGCGGTCCACTCTTGTTGTCGTTTTCTTGGGACGACCCGTGTGACGCCGCTCCTGGACTCTTCCAGACACCGAGAACTGCTACCTCAGCCGTATGATGGTGGAGTGTGATACTTGAAGTCTGCGTGCCACTTCACGTACGCCAACTCCATCCTACAGCCAGGCAATTCCCCGGGTCCTGTCGAAGTCGTTCAACTTTTGTCGTTGTGACATGCGGGATGGCATGGTAATACTGTACTGTAAAACAGAGCTGTATATAATTATATTTATTCTACTGTTAGAAGACTTTGACGCTAATACATGTGAGGCAGCAGATTTTCCGCCCTTGTCTGAGAAAACTAGGTATAGATCTTTCTTACCAGAAGATCAGGGGTGTGGCTGAAAGACAGCAGTAAAAGGAGTCAAGGAGTAGCAGTAGAAAGGCTGCAGAAAGAGTAAAGAGCCCAGAGGGCACACACACGCACACACACACACACACACACACAAACATACACACACACACACTCACACACATACACACACACACACACATACACAGTGAGAGAGAGAGAAGAAAGAGAGAGAGAGAGAGAGAG